ACAGACAGACAGACAGACAAACAGACAGACAGACAGACAGAGACAGAGGCAGAAACAGACAGAGACAGAGAAAGAGACAGAGACATAGACAGAGCGCGTGACTCACCTGTGCAGTTGTCACCGCCATAGCCAGGCTGACAGACACACTTGTAACCACCAACCGTGTTGATGCAGTCCGCGACACCCACGCAGATGTCCGGCTTCTGACACTCATCCATGTCTAGAAATGTTTGAACAAATCACACATTAAAACCAAGCTTAAAATTAATTATACAGTTAAAACGATTATTGTCCAAGATAGCAGTCCATTATCGAGGAGAAATGTAGTAGTCTTAGATAGGCGGCTGTCTTTAAAAAATCCATTAAAATGTTAAAAGACGCAAGGGATGAAACGGTAAGTGGCCGTTTGTACAGGTGATTGTCTTATACAGGTGGGGGTTAGAACAGGCTCGATTGTATTTTTTTTAACGTAGGGTTGTGTTACGTCCACAACGGTACAGATTAGAACATTTAGGAGGCGTGCTTTGACCACGTGAGTCTCGGCCTACCCGGGCTGAGAGGCATACATTATCTCAGCAGAAAAAACTGAGGTATTTGATAAAAATGTTCCCAGCTTGGGAACCGAACTCGGGTCTCCTGCTTATGATGGGGAAGCGCCTGACCGCTTCAGCACAGAGACATGTACAAACCAGGCTTATCCACGACCAGAATACTAGAAATTATTGCATGATCGAATTACACCCTCCTCATCATCAGGAATGCTTATGACCTTATTATGTTGCAATTGTGCATTAAAATTCTTTCTAAAACCAAAACTAAAGAATAACTGGAAAACACTAGGCTAAACGAATTACAAATAATTACCCAAGCTTATAAGGACAACTGAAAACTATTGTTCAAATGATACAAACAAGTCAACCCTAGCAATGAATGGAAAATTGAACAAATTAGATTTAGAGAGTATAGGTTGGCCAACTCGGGTTAACAACAATGGGGGAAATTAAATTATTGCTCAAATTATACAAACGTGTCAAATCTAGTGACAATGAGAATATTATTGCACAAATTACATAACACTCAAGTTAGTAGCAATTAGATATTATTGTACAAATTATAGAATTATTTCGATTTGAGCGACAATTAGAAGTGGAATTTAATTTAAGAAGAACACAATCAAGAACAAGAGCTAGATCTAGAAGAAAAACACCACCAACAACTACAAGAAAATGAAGAATAAGAAGAAAGGACTAAAACACGTTTTAAAAACACCGACACAAATCAAATCACTACCTTAGGTTTGCAAAGTTCTACCTGACATTTATGGCCTTTTTGAGTAACTTTAAGACCATGAGGACAGAAACCAAATTATGTTCTCTATCTTCTCTATTAAAATCGTAAGCTTATTCGGAGTCATTATCAAGATATTCAAAGAATAAAAAATTGCTTTCGAAAACTTGCTTAACCCTATCCGTACGTCGTGTTTTACTATCGTATCTATACGACGTGGGGAACTCTGTGCCACCACTTTCCACAGAGGAAATTTACTCGTTAATCCGATCCGTACGCTTTACATAGCAGTCTGTCAAAATGAGTTTTTGAGAAATACTGAAAGTTTCAAAGATATCTTCGTACTAGAAGTATTCTAAAATGTGAAGAATACAACCCCTGGGGTACAAAATGACTATTGGCGTACGGATAGTGTTGAGTAGAAATGTTGACGTGATACTTCAAATTTATCAAGACCAGACACTGAGCAAATAGAACTTTGTATCTCTAGAGTAGCGGTCCGGTAATATGAGATGACTCACCAACACAAATGTCGCCATCCGTGACGCTCAGTTGTCTCCCAGCTGCGCAGGTCAAGTTCGCCTCTTTGCTTCCGGTTCGGTTGACAACAAAGCCTGCCTCACACGTCAAGGTAACTATCTCGCCGAACAGAGGTAGTCTGGAACCCTGCTCTGCCCAGGTGAGCTCGCCTTTGTAGATCATTTCCAGCTGGCAGCTTTGGGCTGTTGAGAGGCGAAACGAAATAAATTAAGAGGGGCAATACGAAATAAGTAACAGGTATGTGTGTCTGTGTGTGTGTGTGAGGGGGGGGGGG